AGATGTTACCTTTTTATATATCACATTTAACAAAACTGGATTTTATTTTCTTTTTATCTTTTTATATGTGATATTAGTGATCCACATTTTGTTAGTTAGTTTTGATTATTGAAAGCAATATTTTTCTCCCTGAATTTCCAGTGGATCTTCTAACAGTGTCCAAGCTTCTCGGTTTGCTTGGTCTTTCTCTGAGATCACTAATCTCTTGCATTAATCAACTCATCTATTGCTGAACAAGTATTACGTTGTTTAAATACTGTAGCATTTTAATAGATCTTCATATGTGGTGTAGTAAATTTCACCAACTTATTCTTTTTTTTGTTTTTCTTTTACATAAAAAATATTGGGATCAATATGTTCATTTTCCACACAGAGACACACACATATACAGGCATGCACAGACTAACTGTTGAAATTTTGTTAGACATTGTCTACTGATTCAAGAAAACAAATTTGGAAAGAATTAACAGCTTTATAATATTCAGTCTTTGAATCCATCTTGGGAAGTACCCCCATTTTTCTGTTTTCCTAAGTATCTTTCAATAAAGTTTGTTTTATTTATAAAATTCCTATAAATATTTGGCTACATTTATTCTCAAATACTGCACATTCTTATAGCTACTGTTAATTTCTTTTAAATTGTGGTTTCTAGTTGTATTTTACAATTGTGTAGAAATAAAATTGCATTTTATATATTAAGCTTTTAATCATACAACATTGTTAAAATCTATTGTAAAATTCTGATAGTTTCTTTTAATGATCTCCTGTTTTCTGTGAAGACAATCATATCCTCAGTAAATCAATATTTTGGTTTATTCTTTTCTATCCTTATCCCTTTGCATTCCATTTTCTTGTCATATTGCCCTGCCTAGAATCTCAACATCAATATGGAAAAGAAATGGTTACAATGGCCATCTCAGGCCTTGTTCTTACTTCTTAGGGAAATGTTTTTAATGCTTTATCATAAAATACAATATTTATTATAATTTCTGTGTATGTATTTCATCATTTTTCAAGAATTATTTTCATGAATGTATGTTTAATTTTATTAAATGCTTTTGTTTCAACCAATGAGATTTATTTTGTGGGATTTTTAAAATGTGAATTACATTAGCAAATTTTGTACTGGGAAATTGTTGCATTAAAAAATAAACACAATTTGATAAAGTATATCACATTTTACATATTGTGGAATTTGGTTTGTTGACATTTTATTTGGAATTTTTGCAACTATATTATTGAATAAGATTGACCTGTATATTTTGACTCTTACTATTTGTTGCCTTCTTTTGTTATAAAATATATTTTTATAGAATATTATGCACAAAATTGAAATATTTGGTTTAAAGAAGTGCTACTGATGTAAAACCTGTGTCTGATGTTTTGTGGGGAGAGGGATATCTTAAATACTAGTTAGATTTTGTTAATTTCTACATGTCTTATATAGCTTGTATTTCTTCTTCATTCAGCTTTTCTTCTATTATTGTAGAGGTTTTCACTTAACTTGAGTTTTCCAATTTTTTGGCAAAATTTCTTCAAACTCTGCAGACACTGAAATTGTGCTCCATATTTCTTTCTAATACTATTTATGTGCATTTTCTCTAAGTTGTACTTATTAATATTTTCTGAAGTGTACTGACTTTACTAGTTTGATCAATTAACCAACCAAAATTAATTTTGTGATTTCCAGTATTATTTGTCTATTTCTTTTTTCACAATGTCTTATTTTACCTCTATTATTTCTTTTCTTCTACTTTTTAAGAGGCTTTCTTCTCTTCTTTTAATGCTTAACCTTAGACATTTGATTTACACTTTTTGGCATTTTTTTTTAATAAATCAATTAAGGCCATAATTCTCCCCTGTAAATGTATAGGCTGTATCCCACAAATTTTGATATGAAGTATCTACACCTTCTTTATTGCTCAATATATTTTCATTTTTATTCATTTCTTTTTCTTCTTTATCCCATGAGTTATATAAAAGTTGGTACTAAAATTTCAAAATATGTGGTTTTTATATATACTTCAAAGATACAATCTCTGATATTTATTGTCCTCTGGAGGAAGAGCCCTCTAGGCAGAGGAAACAGCAACTGAAAAGCTCTGAATTAGAAAGTGTAAATAAAAAGATATGATGTCCAGCTACTAATCCCTGGAACATGAGGAGAGAAAGGAGATGAAGAGGAACCAGCAAAAGACAATGAACACGAGTTGCTATAAAGGCAAGGGGAAAACTAGATAAGTGTGTTGTCGAAAGCCAAGTGAAGAACCTGTTTCAAGAAGGACACAGAGATCAACTATGACAAACGCTGCTTGTGAGTCAAGATGAGGATTGAGAAATGATTATCGGCAATTGAACTCCACTGCTGATTTTGATAAAGTGCTGTCTTAGTGGACTAGTGTGGGAGGAAACTTGATTGAAATGATACAAGAGAGAATGAGAGGAGAGCACAGCAAGGATGATTCTTTTAAAGAGTCCCTTTATTTTAAAAGGGAAGATGAAAAATGATGTGAGAGCTGGAGGTACAGCTGAAGTCAAGAGCGTTAGGCAATTATGTTTTAGCCAATGTCTAAGATGGCAGCAGGCAGACGGGAGGAACATCCAAAATGGCTGCGGAGAGTTTCAGGTCCCTAGAAAAGCACATTTTCTGAAATCACAAAAAAACCCTCCCCCTTCTCCTTCACCACCACATCCCCTTCTTGCACGTGCAAATTTCTCCACCTATAGAAAAATCCCAGCTCAGCTTAAACCCCGCTCACTTCCCTTCCCTTCCTTCTTAGCCAATAGGAACAGTCCAGCTCAGCCTAATTGGATATAAAAGGCCCAGCCCGACTCCCCCTGCTGCTGCTCCCACTTCCGAGAGGGCAGCTGGCTCGTTCATCCTGCCTGCCTAATACACTTTGGTTGAGTCCCTGTCTCCTGGTGTGTTTCTTTTGACCTGGAGCCAGGGTTTTTTCCTTTCATTGGTGCCGTGACTCGGATGGGGATTCCCCACTCCTAGGGGGACCCTCACCCGTGTCTCTACCTGTAGCCCAGAGCTCACGCTAGTGACGACCAACACTCAGCCAGCCCTTCTTCCCAATCACCACTAGCACATCCAACACCGGCCTTCTAATTGGTAAATTTACCACTTTCATTTCTCTCTTTCTCTTTATCTCTCTCTCTCTCTGGAACTCAGTGGGGCTGAGCAGGGGCTGCCCTTTCCTTGCCCTCTCATTTGCTGCGGGGTTTCTTGTTTCTGCCCTCCAGGCACTCGCAAGCCCCGGTGCTGGGCACCCCAAAGTTCTATGAGCCTCTAGAGTCCCTCAACCGCCAAAAACCAGTGACGTCCACTTCTCAGCGGCTTGAGACTTCTCAGTACCCCAACTGAAGCTGGGATGCCCCTTTGGAGTCAGTACTTCCTCCTCCATTTCCATGGGGGGTGCCTCATCTCTCCTGACTGACTCCCCTTTAAAATGTTTTTCTTTGGGTTTAGCCCCAGACATCAGGCCAAAACAGTAACCTAGATAACTAAAACAAGTGGCCTCCTTTTGGGCCCCTTAATCCCAACATTCTACGGGACTTATACAACTTTTGCAAGCAATCGGGAAAACGGGCTAAAATTCCTTATATCCAAGGTTTTCTTACCAGCCACAGGTGACTATAACACCAGATGAACAAGCGTTAATCCCAATTTTCGTCTGCTTCTTTTCTTCCCTCCATGTTTTTACTTTCACTTTGGAACCAGACTTCCTTGCTCAAACCACACCGGCTCCATCTGCTGCAAACACCCCCAAATCCTTCCCCACTTCTCCTCTGCCCGAACACAGTGAAAACCTGGCCAGCCCACCAATTCTGGCTCCATGGCCAGCAACTCTTACTCCCCCTCTCGCCCCTTTTTCCTGTACCCTCTGTCTTCTGGGTTCTTAGCTCAGTTGTGGCTGCTCCACTCCTGGCGCCCGGAGGTCCCTTTCCCCTTTTTAGTCTGGCTTTTTGTCAATTGTAACTGCTTCACTCTTTTTTCTGGAGCTCCTGGAGCTCCCTTTATCCACTACCTGTTACCCTTTCTACTCACTGCCTGTTCTGCCTTCGGTCAACTGTGACTGCTCTGTCCTTGTCTCCGGAGCTCCTGGAGCTCCCTGTATCCATTGCCTGTTTTACTTTCAGTTTACTGGAACTATTTTGTCCCCGTCTCTGGAGCTCCTGGAGCTCCCTTTACCTGATTTACACGTGCTCACTGGTTTCTCCCCCGCTCTTGTCTTTTAAGTTCCCCTGCCCGGATCAGACTGAATTTTTTACTTTCTTTTTTCCCTTTCTCTCTCCTTCTTTGTCTTAGCCAGGATCCACAGTTATTTCCTTTGCCTTTACCTGTTTTGAGCCTTTTTTCTGGGGGCTGCCTGGCAGGAATTATGGGAACTGCCCAGTCTCAATTCATTTTAAGTGGACCAGCCTCTCCTTCTCGAACTCCTGGAGTCCCGCTCACATTTCCGAGCTCCTGCAACTCAACCTTCTTGTCTGCTTCTCCTCCCTCCAACCTCTGCAGCCATTGTTAAGCTCCTGACCCTTTTTTACTTCTGCTTTGGAACCAGACCAGGTTTCATTTTGAATTAACTGGCGTCTCCTTTCTGAATTCAACTTTAGCTTCCTCCTCCTCCTTTGAGCTCCTGGAGCCCAACTTTGATTTCCCGTCTGTTTGACCTGCTCCTGCCGACCCTCTACCTGCTTCTCTGACTTCCCGCTTGTTTCTGCTACGGCTCCCGCGGCAGCCTTGTCCCCAGCGTGCTCACATCCCTTGCCCTGTCGGCCCCACCCATCTGCCCTGCCATCGCCAACCGTCCTACCCACCCACTTCAAAGCCTTCCTTACTCGGACACCCCCCTTCTTTTCACATCAGTTCCATCGGCCCTAAAAGCCCCTAAATTTTCAAACCCTCTACCCCACCGGAAGCTATTCTTCTAGCCCCCCATTTTCTTTTTCAATCATTTCCACCCTCAGAAAAAGTTTTTAATGCCCGGGAGGAAATGGCCAAACTTAAAACAAAAGCCCGGGTCCAGCAGAAGGTCCAACTCCAAACCCAAGCCTTGGTAGCAGCCCTGCGGCCGGCTGGCTCCGGGAGCCCATGGAAAGGGGTAACCCAGCACCCCCCTGGGGGCCCTGCCTCAAGTGTGGCACTGATGGCCATTGGGCCCGCCAATGTCCACATCCAAAGGAACCAGTGTGCCCTTGTACACAATGCCAGAGGATGGGCCACTGGAGGTCTGACTGCCCCAACATCAGAGGCTCCCCGGTGCCTCCATGCAGAGGAAACTCTGAGCTGGTAAGTCCTGCCTTCCAGCTCCTTGGCCTGGATGACAACTAATGGAGCCCAGACTCAGAAACCCCTCTCACCCACACCGAGCCCAGGGTCATGCTCCATGTAGCGGGTAAGTCCATTTCGTTCCTGTTGGACATGGGGGCTACCTACTCTGTTCTGCCCTCCTACTTGGGCACCAGCTTCCCCTGCCCAGTGGTGGTCATGGGAATTGATGGCACATCTTCTAATCTACGGGCCACCCCACCCCCTTCCTGTAGCCTGGATGGATTTCCTTTCTCTCATTCTTTCCTAATAATTCCCTCTTGCCCCATCTGCCTTCATCCAGACTCTTATTTCCTTTTTGCCTTCACTTGGGAGGACCCTGACACACATACTTCGCAACAACTTATCTGAACTGTTTTGCCACAAGGCTTTTGAGATAGTCCCCATCTTTTCGGCTAGACTTTAGCCCAAAATCTTAGTCTCTGCACTCTAAAGTACAGCACCCTCCTCCAATATGTGGATGACCTCCTTCTTTGCAGCCCCTTATTATCCTCTTCTCAAGTGGATACTGCCACCCTTCTCAATTTCCTTGTGTCTAGGGTTTAATGGGTCACTCCTTCCAAGGCTCAACTTTGCACCCCCATAGTTTCTTACCTAGGCATATCCCTAACTCCCACTTCCAAGTCTCTTACAGGGGACTATATCTGCCTCCTCTGGGATCTCCAACCTCCCCAGAGTGCCAACGACATCCTCTCCTTTCTGGGCCTTGTGGGTTTCTTCTGACAGTGGATCCCCAACTTCGCCCTCCTAGTGTGACCCTTATACAAGGCAGCTAAGGACTCCTCGCAGGGACCATTAACTGACCCCACCACTGTTAAACACCTTTTCTCTAGGCTGCAGGATTTTCTCACTGCAGGAACCACTCTGGCTCTCCCGGACCCTCCAAAGCCCTTTCATCATTTACAGATGAGCATTCTGGCTTGGCTACCGGCCTCCTGGCCCAGCCTGCAGGGCTGGCCTATCAAGCAGTGGCATACCTATCAAAACAGCTAGATGTCACAGCCCAGGGATGGCAGCCATGTCTCAGGCCATTAGCAGCTGCTACCTCCCTGACCAAGGAAGCTCTCAAGTTTACTTCGGGCCAACCCCTCACTGTCTTTTCTTCCCATTGCTTGGGAGACCTGCTCAGCCACGAGTCCCTTGCCCATTTGACTCCTTCCAGAATCCAACTGTACCACCTCCTTTTCATCAAAAATCCCCAGATTTCTTTATCCACCTTCCTCCACTTAAATCCCATGACACTTCTGCCTACTCCCTCCACTACTTCTGACCCTTTACGTTCCTGTCCTCAACTTTTAGAGGACGTTATTCCCTCACATCCAGGGCTCTCTGACCAGCTCCTATCTAATCCTGACCATGTGCTTTTCGTAGATGGTAGTTCTTTCATTGCCCTGGACGGCCAAAGCCATGCAGCCTATGCTGTCGTTACTCTAGACAGCACCTTAGAGGCTGTACCCCTTCCCCTCGGAATAACCTCTCAAAGGTGGAGCTGATAGCCCTCACTCGGGCCCTCCACCTGTCCAAGGGACAACAGGTCACTATATACACAGATTCCAGATAGGCTTTCCTCATCACCCATACTCATTCTGTCCTCTGGCAAGAACAAGGATTCCTCACTACTAAAGGGACCCCAATAATCAATGGGCCCCTCACCTCAAAGCTACTCGAGGCCCTTAGCCACCCAACTGAGGTGTCTATCGTTCACTGCCATGGCCACCAGTCCTCTAAAGACCCTATATCTAAAGGCAACAACAAAGCCGGTTCCACAGCCCAGGCTACGGCTCTAGGCTCTGCCCCAGCTCCTCTCCTTCTTCTCAACACACCCCATTCCATCGTATACAGAAGAAGAAACACAGACCCTCAAGCAGTTGGGGGAATTATCGGGGACAAGGGTTGGATTTTTATCCAAGATAACGTCACCCTCCCTGGCCACCTTGCCCGCAGCATCATTACAGACATCCACCAATCCCTCCACCTTGGCCCAAAAGCTTTATATCAGTTCCTAGAACCCCTTTTCCATAACCCACACCCCCAAAAGCTCATTGAGGAGGTTCATCAGTCTTGCAATACCTGTTCTGCTGTTAATTCTCAAGGGAGAATTCGCAGGGTAGGACCTAACCATCAACTCCAAGGCCATCAACCGGGAGAGGACTGGCAGCTTGATTTAACTCACATGCTATGTCACAAAACCTATTGTTACTTACTAACTTTGGTGGACACCTTTACAGGATGGATTGAGGCTTACCCCACAGCTCGAGAAACAGCAGACGTGGTAGCTGCTATACTCATTAAACATATCATCCCAAGGTTTGGCCTCCCACAGACCCTACAATGTGACAATGGCCCAGCCTTCACTTCCAGTGTCATCCAACAGGTCTCCAAAAGTCTGAACATCACCTGGAAATTCCATATCCCTTACGATCCACAATTCTCAGGAACGAATTCAGAGGTGTCTAGAGTATCCGTCAACCAGCTTCTGCTCCACTCCTACTCCCATGTGCCCACTTCCAACAACCCCTACAACGCCCCTCATTCAGCAGGAAGTAGCCAGAGACAATGGCGACACCCCTTTTTCTATCTAAACCAAAGAGGGGGGAATGTTAGGCAATTATGTTTTCCCTGATGTCTAAGACAGCGGCAGGTAGATGGGAGGAACACGCAAAATGGCTGCGGAGAGTTTCAGGTCCCTAGAACAGCACATTTTCCAAGAATCACAAAAAAAAACCGTCCCCCTTCTTCTTCACCACATCCCCTTCCTGCCCGTGCGAATTGCTCCACTTATAGAAAATCCCGCTTGTTCATTTTGCCTGCCTGATTCACTTTGGTTGAGTCCCTGTCTCCTGGTGTGTTTCTGTTGTGCTCAGGCTGGGGTTTTTTCCTTTCAAAGAGGAGGTCATTTTATGACAGTAGTAAAAAAAAAAAAAAAAAAATCATGTTTGCATGCTGATGGGAATAATCTAGGAAAAAGGAAAAAATGATGATGCAGGAAAGAAGTAAGAGAATTGCTGCAGTATTATCATTGAGTGATTGAGGGAGAAGAGGATAGAAGGCACGATATGACAGATGGCCTTAGTAAAGAGTGTAAAGAGCTCATTCACTGTCACAAGAGACAAAATATCCTGTGCAAGAACTCAGCTATAGACACCTGGATAGATGTGGCGGATGGAGCGTGTGGAAAGTTTTTCTGATTGTTTCCATTTTTTTCAATGAAGAAGGAAAATAGGTCATCAGCTTATAATGAGGATAGGAAAGACATGCTGCAGGTGTGAAGAGAGGAGAGAGACTAAGGAGTGTAAGAAAGAAAATCAATTGGGAACATATGATCAGTGAACAGCATGAAGAACTCTCTTAGTTTAATGCTCATAAATGTAAAGTAAAATTGATAAGCACATTTTATTTTGTTCTGCTGCTTGTTTTTGTTCATTTTCCAGTCACAGTCTGGGCACTGAATATGCAGAACTGGATTTGACCAATGCTTGGGTTTCACAAAATGAGTACAACAAATTTGAGGGTTTGTTGTATATTGCTCTTTCTCAAAAGTCTGTGGTGGTTGTTAAGATTTTTTAAATTACAAATTCATTTACAATGATCATTAAATTCAAAGAAAAAAAATTTATATTTACATTTTCTCCATTAATAAAAACTATAATTAACATCATGGGTGATGAGGAAATCATTCTCAAAACTACTTTGAACCACAGTATCAAAGTATACTGATTGAAAATAAGTAATTTGCAATATAAACAGAAATTTCCATTTAGTATATCAAAAATAGCTTATGTAGAAATAGTAATAAATGATCCTATCCCTTTGAAATAAAGTAGAAATTTTAAGACACTGCCACAAAAAGGTAATGGACTGATTTCTGTCTCTATCAATATGAAGCTACAAATTGATTTGTTTTATACATCAGAAACAAAATTTATTTTCTTCATGTAGAAATCCAGAAATTGACATTCTTTTTTATATATTGGTTATGAATATTCACGAGATGCAAAGCTGATCATCACACTTCATGCCCAAGAGGTGAAGGCCATATTCATACTGGTAGCATACCCACTACCACAAACTGTGTTTGTACCCTGTACCCCTTACCCAATCATCCCCATCTTCCCTCCGCTTCCCCCTGTCCCCCCCACTCTACTTTGTAGTCCAAGGTATATTGTCTCACTCTGCAAGTTCAATGCACCACTGTGGTCTTTCTTTCCTTCTTTCTTTCTCTCTTAGCTCCCACTTATGAGTGAGGACATGTGGTATTTACCCCTCTGTGCTTTGCTTATTTCACTCAACATAAGTTTCTCCAGGCTCATCCACGTTGTTGCAAATGGGAGTATTTCATTCTTTTTTATGGCAGAGTAGTATTTCATGGTGTATATATACCACAGGTTCCTTAATCAATCATCCATTGATGGACATTTAGGTTGTTTCCATATCTGGGCTATTGTAAACAGAGCTGTGATGAACATGGGAGAGAAGGTATCCCCTTGACATGATGATTTCCATCCTTCTGGGTAAATACCCAGAAGTAGGATTGCTGTATCATATGGAAGATCTGTAGTTGTTTGAAAAACCTCCATACTGTTATTCTTTTATAAGAATGCAAGAATGCATCTTCAAGTAATGGATACTAGGGAGAATAACTTTACTTCAAGTAAGTGTTTATGGAAAACATAAAGTATACACAATATATGTGTAAATTTGTTTTTTATTTTAAAATATATTCTCCTCAAAAATATTATATATACCTCTTTAATATCATCTTAGGCTCCCTTGCCTCCTGGACCTTCCTCTCCTGGCAATTCAACTCCAATCACACTCACACAATTCCTCCATCTAAAGTCGATTGACCACAATCTAGGAATATCCACTTCTCTGAAGACTTCTTGAATCCAAGTGAAACACAACAAGACAGAGGATAAGATCTGGTTTTCCATGTAGCTGCACCAAGGGCCAAATAATTCAATCCAAATGTGCAGGGAAATTAACACATTATCTGGTGAACTTTGACCAATGGGAACAGGAGACAAAAATAAGTCATTCATTTAATCCTCCTCCCCCTTCTTTTGTCAATGTTCTGTATCAAGGCAGTTTCTCTGTAGACTCCTCCTGGAGATACCTTGTAAGGCACAACCTGTGCACCTGCTAAATAGCCAGCTGTGTCACTCACACTACATGGTGAAAGAAGACTGGCATGAGACCACATTACCTTGCACTATACTTGTTCTTCTCTTTCCCATCACCCTTATTTCCTTCAGTTGTACCTCATAAATAAAGCCTTAGCACTCAATCCTTGCATTAGACCTACTTTCAAGGGACCACAGACTAAACCAAGAACCAGAATATAAAGCACATACATGTACAGTTGAAACATTCATGAAATTCCACCCAAGTTAAAAATTAAAGCATTACTTTAGAAGCTTCTCTTTGTGCCCTTCACCAAATACATAAGATAATCATTGTCCTTATTTTTATGATAAACATTTCTAAATATTTCTTTGTAGTTTTATTATTTTTATATGAATATTCCTAAGCAATATTGTATAGTTTTGTCTGTTTTGAAATCTATATACATTGGGTGACACATATTGTATAAGGCTATGTCAAAAAGTTCATGGATTTGGGCCAGCCCGGTGGCGCACCACTACAGTGCGCCACTTGGGAGCGCGGTGGCGCTCCCGCCGAGGGTTCTGATCCCACATACAGACTGGCCGCTCACTGGCTGAGCAAGGTGCGGGCACGACACCGAGGGTTGCGATCCCGTTGCCAGTCACGAAAAAAGACAAAAAGGGAAAAAAAAAAAAAAAAAGTTCATGGATTCATATTATATTTTAATTTTATTTTTTCATGAACTTTCTGAAGTACTCTCATAATTGGGAGTTTGGTTGGTTGGTTGTTTGGTTTTCCCTCAACGTTTTATTTGCAAGGTTTATTCATGTTGATTCATGTAGCTGTGGTTTATCCATTTTTGTTATTGCAGAGTATTCTAATATATGAACACAACAAAAATTATATACTAATTCTGCTGGTGGGTATGGATTTTTCTAGTTTTTTGTTTTGTTTTCTTTTGTTTTGTTTTTGCTCTATGAACATGTTTAAATACATCTTTTAGGACAAAAATGCAAAAGTTCATCTAGTTTATTTACTTGCAAGTGATTTTTATGGTTCATATGACATGCATATATTTAGCCTTACTAGATTACATCAAATTATTTTCCAAATTGCCTAGAACAATTACATTCCCATCAAAAATAGAAGACAGTTTTCACTGCTCTGCATTTTCAACTGTACTTGGTATTGTCCAATGTTCTATTTTTTTTCCTAGTCTGCTGGTTAGATAATACATCTCAATGTAGATTTAATTTGCAGTTTTCTGAAAATAAATAAAACATATTTTTGTACATTAATTGACTTTTTAGTATTTTTTTCCTTTCTATACTGTTTATTAAAATATTTTATCCATTTTAAGTAAATTTTTCCTAATGATTTGTGGAATTTCTTTATATATCTTAGAAATTAGTTAAATTTTCAGTGAAATACATTGCAAATTACCTTTCCCAGTTGTTTTTTTTTGTCTTTTCATTCTCTTTATGATATCTTAATTTAAACATGACCAAATTTATCTATGCTTTCCATTATATTTATTGTTTTTATGTGTCTGATAACATAATCCAATCTAATAGCATGAAGAGATGGAAGGGAAATTTGGCTATCTTGGCCTGCACTCTGAGCAGAAAATCAAATGAAAAGGAAACCAATGTAGCTATACTAATTTTAAAAATATAAATTTAAGATAAAAACATTATTATGGTAGACTATATCACTGTATAATGATACAAGGAATTCTTTGAATACTTTGTGGAGTACAACAATTCTGAACCCATAAGCACTTCTTGATGTACTATCAAAATATATGATGTATAAGTTGAAAGAATTGTAACAGAAATGGACAAATCAGCAAGAGTAAGGGGAGACTTTTTCACACATTCCTTTTTGCTACTGGTAAAGCAGGAAAAAAGTAAACAAAAATATAGATGTGTTTAACAAAATAAGAAGTTTGTTCTAACAAATATGTAGAACTCTGGACCTAACAATTAGAAAACACGTATTCTTTTCAAGCACACATAAAATATTTACAAGTACTGACTATTTACTAGGCCACAAATTAATTATCAACAAACACTATTGAACAGATGTCATAAAATCACTTTTTCTGATCGAAATATTGTTCAATCTGAAATGAGTGACAAAAAAGATAATAGAAATTTCACATTTGGATACTTAAAAACCCATTTTTACATAATTTATTGATCAAAAAATTTTAAAAAATAGTGGAAATTAGAAAATATTTAGAGTAGCATAATAATGAAACTACTACAAATGATAATTTGTATGATAAGAAAGCAATTTATATACAGAAATTATTGTGTTAGTATTAGAAAAGAGGAAAGAAGGCCAGAGTTCCAGTCAAGATGGTGGAGTAGTTGGTTCCTGGTGTCACTCTCTCCCACAGAGTGGCCAATTTGCAGCTATAGAGGAGCAGCAA